GATCAAAACATTGCATTAAAATGCTAATGACAAATGGTTTACTTAAATCTACTGATCTCAAGTAGTTAGTTTACCTGCCACCAGACTGAAATCATGTCAATTAAAGCAATTAGTTCCAGTGCAAACATGTTAAGGACTGCCCATATGAGCGCAAGCCCAATATACATAGCAAGAAATACACCATGAGAAGCAAAGTAACCCCCGCCTTTGTTTGTGCCAGTACTCAGTAAAATGATAGTTTGCAATGTTTGTGATCCTCCATATGCCTACACAAAAGATAGAGGAATTGAGTTATGTGCTAGTTACCATATTCAACCATGGAAAAATAAGTATATTTAAGCGTATATTTAAGCAATATACCACTAATTACAAACTATGTTGCATGGGTACTTCTATTTGAAACCGTACTTGTGTCGTAACCGTATCCAACACTGAAACTTCAGTGGACGCTCCTTGGATATTTGCATACACTTATCCAAATGCGTACTCAATTATAGAATACATGATTTAATTTAAAAAACTCATCATATACTTTTTGGACATATATCCTACACTTCACATATCATTCTTGGAGCTTGTTGGACGTAAATCAAGTTGTTTCTACCCTACCCAGTCCAGAACTATAATTATAAAGGGCCACTTGGATATCAAGTTAATGAGCAATTTTATAATTTATAGATTTATCTATATTATAAAAGAGACTTACGAATGTTATATGAATTTGAATTTATAACACGTGAAATGGAAAATAATAATATTGATCTCATTTTAAAAAAAATTATAACCCAACTTGAAATCTAATCCAAGACCGTAGGAGCCATATTGGAACCTCCCAAACATCCGGGTCACCGCAAAGGGTCCATGTAAATTATTATTATTATTATTTATACATGTATATGTAGTAACGTCCCCTTCATCTACCTTTCACGAGTTTGTTGTGTCCTATACCCATGGCGCACCCCTACCCGTATCCGTGTAACTTAGGATACCGGCAAGTGAAGGAAAGTAGAGCATAGAAAACATCACTGAGGATTGCAATCATTTGCCGTGTCCTGTACCCGTAGCGCACCCCTACCCATATCTGTGTAAATTAGGATACAGGCAAGTGAAGGAGCTCAAGGAAAGCAGAGCATAGAAAACATCACTGGAGGATTGCAATCATGAAAATCTACATGGTAGAATCTACCTAGATTTTTTAATATCTTATAGGAGATGATGGGACCACCAAACAATTACCATTACCATCCTCTTCTGCGTTAGCTATTGATTCCATTGCATTTTTTCATGGAAACACATTTCAGTAACCCCCCAGCTAATAAACATTATTTGACATGTGATTGATGCTCATACGTACTTTATTATGTGTATATCTTGAGCTCTATGTTATTTTATGAGCTGACCCGGTTCAAAATGCATTAATTAAAGCATGAAGGGGAAATCTTATAGTGGCATGTACGCAGAATCCAACTGGGAAATCCCAATTAAACTCTGATAATGTTAATGGAACCATACATTTCTCTAATGTGATGCCATGTTTGAATTCAATAATTCTCACTTTAGGGATAGAAGTGCTACCATTGTCCCGATTCCAGCAATAAGGCCAATCATCTCGAGCCAAGCACAGCACCACGATGCAAAGGGACCCCAGACTGGACCAGCTAAATGAGCAGCCCAGAAGTAAAGAGAACCAGTAGTCTGTTCCCAAGGAGAAAAGAAGAACAATCAAATTCAGCATGTTCCCCCCTTAAGAGTAAAATATTTAAGTTTAATAAAATTCATACAAAAGGCATCTAATATTTAAGACTGTAAAGCTTTTATGCCATCAGAAGATCATAAAAGAAAGCTGAAAACTGAGAAAGAAAGAAA